TCAAAACCAATATCAAACTAATCCTATATAAGATATGCGTTAGACCGATAATAACATACGGCCACCAAATCTGGGCTGCAATTGCAAAGTCTCACATTAGTGTGATTCAAGGAATCCACAATAAATTTCTACGCATCATCCTCAACACTCTGCCATGACACTCTCATTTGTGTACTATATGCAATAGCGAACATCCAAACAATTCAGAGCTACATTGCAAACTCACTTGAAACAACTTATTACGCAGAGTATCAAAACCCACTCATCAGTCAAGGAAACTACAACGTTAACGACATTTCACTAAAAATTAAGAAAAAACTACCTAAACACGCAATTACCACTACATGAAACCCGAACAGGATCATAAGTTACGTTAGAAAACTATAAAAATATGCAAGTTTTTGAAATTTTTTCTGCTCATTTAGTAATACACAATCATATAAACATACTATCTTTGAACTGACATCAGTCGCTGTATAACACTCGTGACTCAAGCAAGAATCGCGTATTATAAGACATCAAGCTTATTACATAATAAAACTAGACGTGATGATACGTTAAATTCATTCATTTCACACATCAATGGGTGCTCCTTCGAACCCCAAGGTATACACGCATAGGTACAGGATCGACATAGTCGTTATTCTCCTTAACATGTTCCGTTTTCTTTTTTTTTTTCTTCTTTTGAAAGAAATTTCATAATTACTACAATCTTCTCTATAATTTCTTTCGATAGATACTGAAACCTTTGTTATTCAGTTTGATTTTTCGTCAATCGCTGGTATATAACTGATCGATGACTGTGTAACAGATATAAAATTCGGTGTACAAAATTTAATAACAATAAACTATTGTATTTTTAAATACTAAACATTCAACGTATTCGTAAAAAAACTTGAGTTAAATTTAAATTTAATAATTTAAAAGATGATTATATTAATGCAAATAAAGGCAAAATGTGAGTTATATTATCGTTACTAGATTATTAATAATGATTGTGTAAAATATAATTGCGATGAATCTATTGACTTATATAATTTTTGCCTTTTATTTTGCGTTTTATTCTGAATAATTGCAATTGTATTTTATTTTGATCTTCAATTAGATAAAAATGTAATAAATTACATTACTGGTGCTGTTGAAAAATTTATAGAGAATAAAAATTATTACATATGTATAATGAAAAGTAAAGTTTGACCTATTCTGCATAATTAACTAAATTAATTTATTGAATATTTCGATATTGCATATATTAAAGTTTGATTTCGAAAAGCAGAACATATCTTGTCACTTTAATTGATACATCGGAGCAGAGATTCTAAAAAACTCTCAAAATGTACTCTCTTTTCAAAATATAAACTACATTGTCCATGATTTTGAGATGAAATAGATAATTTTAAATTCGAGAAGAACTCGAATGTAATATTCTGTGACACATTTGATATACATACTATGATATGTGTGACAAGATTCCTTTCTTTTTTCAATTTTCTCTCAAATGAGCAAATCTCTAAAGGACTTCTTTTTTTAATTTATTGATTTTCCACACATTCCTGAAGTTTTCACATTTAAATAGTTTGTATATATAGGACTGCATTTGATATTAACTAGAAAGAGATTTTGATACATGAATTTGTAATCTTGCGGTCGGTCTTGCGGCGTGCTTCGAAACTAATTGTTGCATCAGGAAGTAGAGTCCAGAAACGTTTTGAACAAATATATATTAAATATATGTGGAGAACTTCTTCATCTAGTCACATAATAAAAGCACTCAACTTTTGTATTTCATTTCGATCAATAATCTTTCATATACATTGATTTTTCATTTTTCATTAAAAGTTATGCAATAATTATTCAATTCATATTCACAGGCTTTACGTCATGTATTGTTTTAAATAATTTTGTTATCCAAGAGTATTAAGATTTCGCATAAGCAATATTATCAAATGGTCACCCGATTCTCGTTAGTCACATTATTATTTAAACAGCTGATTAGATTGCTTAGTTAGGACAATCACAAAAATTACGATAAGATTCATGAAGACGCGTCACACGCATATCTTGTCCTTTATTTAAATAACTTATAGATATTTGTAATATTGATTGCTGTATATTCAACTACGATTAGTAATAGACAAAATAAACATTTGGACAAAATAAACTTGTTTTTCGCAGGATCCAATAATATTTTCTGAAATATCTTCTTTGCGTTTATATTACAATTATATATAATTTTAGAATATTGACTCCATTTAAAATTTTCGTCAGTAGTGTAGAGAAACGTACAGATACAGTAGCGTATCGATAAAGCTTGAATTTCTATCTTGTTGCTTTATTCGTTAAACGACAGCATTAGTTCAAGGATCTTTGCTACATCAACGAAACGTCGAACATAATTATCCGGGAATCCATCGGTGAACTTGGATTACCATAGAATCCGGAGCAACAGTGGCTTGGCAGGAAGCCCGCAGCGTTTCGGTTGCCGCCTTTTGAATCTTAATAAATTATCCGTCGACCATGGCCGATCAGAGAAGGGTACGAGAGAGGCTGGTCGAGCGCGCATCTATCGGCATGCTCATTAATCACCCGATATATATACCCCGGTTCGTCGCCACCGATAATCGGCCGTGCCACAGCCGACCAGGGAATTTGAATTTCGGGAACGGGCATACGGTTCTGGCTCGAATATTATCGGTATATCGATTTCACACACACCCTAACCCCTCCACCCTTCACCCCTTGCCTCATCCACTTCAAATCCTTCTGTCAACCAGTTCAAAAAAAGATTTTTTCAACATCCTATCATTTATACTTGCATCGTGAATTCAATAAGTCTTATTTCTTTAAAGGATTCTAAGTCAACAATCATTTAAACAAACTATGTATTAAATAGGTATCAAATATAATTATATGAATAACATATATACGGATTGTTATTTCCACATTGATGAATTGGTTGAAATATCTCTGTTTCTTGGTTTTCGTGATCGAAATTTTGTATCTCACAGATTTTTTTCCCCTATTTTTTTTTCTTTTTTTTGATCATGAAAAGATATAGACCAAGAAATATCAAAAACTTACTAAATCATGATAAATGTATATATAATATTTTATTTTTTAAAATTCTCTATCATTTTTATTTATATGATCGTCATTTTTTAAGAAGTATTTTTTGTTTCAAAATTGCGAGTTTCAAAACTTTTAATAGACTAACTTCCACATCTCCATAGTATATTTTAGTTGTATCGTAATGTAAGTATTATATTACGTGTCAAGAAATATTGCAAACATATGTAGTATCGTAGTTCATTATCATAGGTCATTGTTAAGTCATAACCTGTGGTTGTAGTTATTATATCCTTAGTTGCATTTAGTTATAATAGATGGCCTGTAGTGTGAAGAAAAGCGTGAAAGAGAAAGAAAATATGAATATGGTAGAAGAAGAGCGACGTTGATGTGGAGCGTTTTTCTTTTTGAAAAAAAAGGAGTCGAGCGAATTGAAAACATAGTCGATTTGACTTGTGAGAAAGAGTTGACTGAGTTGTTAAAAAAAGAGTTTATTTGAATTGTGATCACGTATAATAGTTAATCTGTATTCATTATCTTGTATAATTATCTATTACTTAATTACCATTATTACTAAATTACCAGCATTATTATTAAATAAATATTATACACATATATATAAACATGAGTTATTGAAAAACAATGGATGCTTTCGCTCAATGATTTAATGAGTCATTTCCTTTTTCTTAAAAATCTGCTTAAATTTATCGCCACATTTGTTTGCACATTTATATACGAAATATTTACTTCAGAAATTAAAAGAAACTTTCGGTACTTTATTAATCAACTTCTATTTTCTGGCTTAAAAAAGAAATTCAAGGAAGGAGAAAAGTCTATATGTATGTATACATGTTGTATGTCTGGATACAAACGTACATATATTGAGTATCCTGAAAGCATTTTCAGTTACTAAAAGCACTCACAGAAGAAACCTTGCTGTTCCGCTTTTATAGGAAATATTGTAGTGCGTTTGTAAAGAATATCATATCCTCATCAGTTGATACAATTGTTCTTATGAAAAGAGACGTACCAGAAAAGCATGCTAATTAAGATTTAAAGACAAGAATTTGAACTAATATCACACAAATTGTACAAGTTGCAGAGAAAAAATGATAATTTTTTGTAATTGATATAATTTCCCATATTTTCTATTGTATTATAAAAATCAGTATAAAAACATAGAAAAACATTAGAAATTATATTTCTTCGATTATTTAATTATAATTTGCACATTATCAGCAGGAAATATGTTATCACTGTAATAAACGATGACATTACCATAGCGTTATGTGATTTTTAGTTTGATTTAGACCGTCGCTTCCATAAGTATATTATAATAAATTGAAATATAGGGTCCTTCACAACATGATTGCTCTATCATTCCTTCTTTTTCTTTTTTTTGTTGTTGAAGTTTTCACAAATACAATGTATATTCTAAGCCTTTCATTTTCTTTCTTCAACACTTTTTTCTTCTTTTAATATAAAAGAAGATGACTTATTTATCTATTACATTATATTATATTTAATACTTGTTTGTTTTTTTTACAGATTCATAGTTATTGACTGTTTATAGCAAAAATCATTATAATGTTAGCGAATTTTAAATTTAAACTAGAACTTTATAAATATTATAATATTCTATTTATATTTATTTATTTTAATATTTCTTTTCAATACCATTGAATAATTGAATATTTCTTTTCTTTTCATTAACATAATTTGAATTAAGCATTAGTATAGAATGTAGAATGCTAATATGCTTTTTATTCGAAAAGTGATTTTGAGATTCTTCTTGAATCGAAGAATACACTGTTCAAAATTAATAACAGCTGTCATGCAAATTTTAGAAACGTTTAACTATACTTTCCACAATGTTTAACGTAGGTAAAAATATTTTGAATAATCTTCCCGTAAAATAACAACTATCCCGATTATCTGAATCTGTAAAACTACGTTGATGTGGAAAAAGACGAAGGAAAATGTACATATAAAACAGAGCGTCCTGAAAGCATTTTGCCCGTTAAAAGCATCGAAGAGAAAATTCGTTCCATTTTCTATGGAAAAGGAGCACGACGCTGTGAAGCGTGCTCAATCGTATCCATCAGGTATAATCGTTCCTGAAAAAAGACGATTAGCACACGACTTAACTCGATGGAAATTGGAAGAAACTGTTTTCCTTTGTTTAAGATTCTACCTATTAATGTGAAAAACGACATTAAATGAAAAGCTCGATCGACTTTTTAACACTTATTACTGAATCTGCAATTATTTACTTCTTTCACAAAATCGTATTGTGTCAGTAAAGATACTTTTTTAAATCACTGCTCACGTTAATTCGTAAATGCAATAAAGATTGATAAAGATAAAATAAGGAAAAAGGACTTATAAACTGATAAAGAATACGAATACAAATATTTTACTTTGAAATCATAAACAAAGAATTAACAAAAAATGTGCTCTGTGTATATAACGTAAAATAAAAATTGATATAAATGTAACTTGTTCATAAAAATAATAACAATAGTTATTATTTTATTACAAAATATTCATTGTGCTTATTAATAGAAAAATTGACGAAAAATACAATTTTCGTAAATGGTTTTCATGTAAAATATCCAAACAACGCCTAATCTAAATATCATGGATGTTATTGGTGGTAGAAAAAAATGTAGCAAATTAAACTTGTTTGATGTCGAAGGATACATAATCTTATTAACAGTTCTTCGATATGTAAAACACAAAAATCCATATTTGTTTCTTTAAATAAAATCGTATAATTTTTAGTGCAACTCAATTTTGATATTTTGAAAAAAATCTATTAATTCATTTATATAACTTTAACTTTATTTTAACTAATAATTTTAACTATAATTTATTTTAACTATTAATTTTAACTATAATTTTTAACACATTTGTTTCTTTAAATGAAATCATATAATTTTTAGTGCAAGTCAATTCTGATATTTCAAAAAAATCTATTAATTCATTTATATAAGTTTAACTTTATTTTATTTAATAATTTTAATTTCGTAAAATCTATTATATGAGAGATAAGGATAAAGATGACCGATATTCTTTTGTTCATATTGCCCTTGTTTTTCACACAATAGATTTTAGAAAATTAAAGTTAAAATATCTAATAATAAATGGTTTTTCTATAAATTTAATATTTGTTATGGAGAGTATCATGATGGACTTATTAATATACTAAAACTTTTTAATGAATTAAAAATTATATGGTTCCATCAAAAAACATTACGTTGATCTTCCTCTACATCCTCTACGCGTCTATTTGTCAAAAAACATCAGATTATGTAGCACCATTGGTGCTAAGCAAATTTAATTTGATGCATTTTTTTCTATCATCAATTACAGCTGAGATATCCAGTTTTATACTTATTTAACCATAAATAAAATTAAAAATTCTCTAAGAATTTTTATAAAGATTATTATTAGAATATTTCTAAACTTATTTAAAATAAATTTCACATTACCATTATAAACTTTTTTAGTGAAATATTTTTCATCTTAGATTCTGCTTGTTAATATTTTCAGAAGTATTGTGAGAAATTAAAAACATTTAGATCAACTCAACTTTTTTTCTTATTGTTAGTAAGAATATAAGATATATGAAAACAAAGACATAAAAGAATAAAACATAATTTAAATTATTAAAATTATTTATAAAGCTGTGGACTAAAATAATGCTAGCTAGTGAATAAAATAATGATGTTAGTACTTTGTAAATTCTCAAACTGATTAATTTGTGCTTTTATACATATGAACACTGAAAATTCATTTCGCTGAACCTCTTACATAAGTCAAGTCAAAAACTATTAGTTTTAAAGATCATTTCGTTATACAATATATATTTTATAAAATTTTAAAATAATCATCCAGAGATATGATATAATAATTTGTATACGTGTGTATAATTTTAATTCCTAAAAATAACGTGTTATTATATACCATTCATTAGATACTAAATTTAGTTTCAGATGTTAAAATTTTTATAGGCTAACAATGTCTTAAAATTATATTAGAATAAACGACTGTATAAATTCGTACATATTACTTGAATTAAATCTTGTTAAGGAATACTTGAATACTTGAATGCAACATGGTTATAAAATTTCCATTTGTTCGACAATCATATATCGATAATCATTTGTTAGCCCAACTGTCATTGGATCGATACTGTTTTCGAAAAGAATGCAATCGTTCAACTCACACGAACGCATGCGCTCCATTTGAAGCACCGATTTACGCAAGCATTTATGTTCATATGCATCACATATTTTTTATAACTCGTTGATTCGTAGACGTTAGTAACTCAATTATATATGCATATATCCAGTACATCACAATGCATTTTCTTTAATTTTTATTCTGTTTTGCGTTTTATCTTTTTTTTCAACTTTGAACTGTTTTATATATTTCAAAAAAAAGAAAAGATAACAACCAAGCTCTATCAATGTCTTAAACTATCATCTTTTATCATTTTTCTTAATTTTATTTTACTTGGTTCAAATAATTATTGTATACAATAATTAAAAACATTTATTGTAAAGATTTGTATTTTCATATCATCCTCGATATAATATTCTCGAAAATGATGTAGTATCATACAAATAACATAGTAATTATTTCGTTCCAAAAATATTTTTCTGTCATTATCAGAAAATATATTTATAAATCTTTATAAATATTTCAGCGTTTAAATTATTGCAGTTGCACGCTAGACAATTTCTAAAAAATATTAAATATTAAAGAATATTAAATTTTTATATAAATTTTGTGACATATTATTTACTACCCTATAGTAATACTACAACAATTTACTGCACAATAATAATGTATTGAAGAAAATTGATTGATTATTCAATTATAAAATTGCAAGATAATCAATAATCAACTAGGATATGTGCTTTCATGACGTTCATATTTAGTAAACGATAGTTCACCTTATTTATAAATAAAATAATTAATTAATTATGAATTCCTACAAAATTTTATGAATGGTAAGATGAGCTAATTCTTAGAACATGTTTTAACGCGAATAAGATTTCTATTTTTCAATTCTACATTACTGATGAAAAATAATTGACTATTGACCATAAAACTATTTCATTCAGTTGATAAATATAGATTCATTGTATTTGGGCGTCACAATTTAGTTCAATCATAAAAAATAACTATTCATATGGACTAAATAATTCATCTCCATTTTTGTTATATGAATTATAAGTAATGTCATGAAGTCAAGAATTTTTAGATGTGATGTTTGTATTAAAAAATTATAGACACAGGTCGCAACTTTCTGATAAGAGGAAGAAGAAAATAATTACGAATGAAACAAACAATTTAGCAGATCGTTAATGTTTTTTTGCAATCATTAAACGGGCAATATTGAGAGAAATTTTGCTTCAGTGCAATGTTTTCAATCACAATATAAATTTAGAACGAAAAAAAAAAAAGAAATATGTTACAATATAACATACAATATATTTCATATTTGAAAAAAACCTACTTCTTACAATTAGATACATTCATATGAATATGCATATTAATGAATAATAGTTTTAACGTACTTTCAAGACACATGTAAGCATTTGGAAATAATCAAGAGAGATAAAACGTAAACCATGAGTGTGTAGTTAAAGAAAGACAACAGAAGAAGATGGAAAGTGATGACAAGGGGAGAGGAGGAAGTGGTTTTTGTACGCAGAACGATAAATTTGGTGGAGCAGCATTTTGCCCCCGAAAACCTATCGCAATAAATACGTGGTATGTCCGGTGCGCGGTTGAGCCGCCGCGTTATACTCTAATGCAGTGCATATGGAACAATTTATAACGCTTCAGCGTTGGTCCCCGGGAATTTTTCTCACCACTCGTTCGTTTAGTTCATGCCACATACGCTTTTCACCACCCATTGTTTCCGTATTGCTGAATTATTATTTCGTAATTTGTCTTTTGTTCTTGGAGATGGCTGTACAGTCGACTCACAATTAGATCTTTTGAAAATAATTTTATCATGCGGCTAAATATTGCAGTAATGTTTATGTCGAAAATTTCTGTCACTTCAAAATTTTTAAATATAACAATAAATCATTTTATGTGTTTATTTATACTTCCTAACAATTAATACGAGAAATGCTGCAAAAGTTTCCAGAATCTATTGATTCATGTCATTGTCTTATTATTTCTGGTACTATAACTCAAATAATATCTTCACAAAATTTGACAACTTTTAGGTTAAAAATGCTAGTAACACAAAGAAATACCAGTTGGTTTTATTTTTATATTTTATAGAAGATTAAGAAATGGATTTAAGTCGAGAACATTCTCGTGCAATGATTTTTTACAATTTTTAACGGTAATATACTCTTATTGTTAGTGATAAAGCTTTTCGTAATAAAGCGCAAACGATAATTTTTCGCATATTACAATTCGAAAATTATCGTATTCATATCCATAAAATTATCGTAAAAAATCTCAACGATGAGTCGTTCTTTAATTGTTGTTGTTTTGTAAAACATTAATGTTGTGCACGAAATGCTAAAGATGGATTGAGTCATCTCTCGACATCGACATGAAACAAATATGTACATACGATACTGCACGACCATTTGAATGTAAAGAAATTGGATTCTTCACAACTTGACGCTCAAAAATAGATTCGTGTCAAGTAGTGTAGGGAAATACTGAAAAGATTTACTGGAGGATCATCAAATCGTGTCTATAACATCGTCAAAAATAGACAGAATTCCGATTACTTTGCTCATATGAGTCTCAAACTAAATCGACTATTTACGTCTCCCAAAATGAACTCAAACTAATAAAAATTGTTCGTTCTCGAAATGTCTTGAAAAAGATGATTTGTTCTTTGATTTTATTTTTTCAAAATATCAGACAGTTAATATTGATTGAAACGCAACATTTTGTTTGCTAAAATTGATAAAAGAAATGAATTATCTTGCATCGAGATTGAATGACCGAATCTATTATCGAATCGATTATTTGAAGAGTCAAATCATCGAATTAGTGTCTCACTGTCCTCATAGATTCGATTTATCACTAAATGATTTCTTCTTGTTCTCGCAGGTAAACAATTAAA